TGAGGGAGGCGTAATGGGCTCAAGCCCAGGCCCATGGTCAAGCCTGCAACGCCCTGAGCGGATTGGGCGGCGATTTGACGCCGGTAGGCCCTGGGAACGCAGAGGAATACGCGTCCCAAGTGAGCAAGTTGGCCACTTGCGTTCTGCCCAACAGACCGTCCGTTCTGGGACTACAACGGACGGTCTGGGCCCAACTTTGGCCCAGCTCTTCGCTCGTTCGTGGTCCGTTCGTTCCGCCTTTAGCAGTCCGTCCGTTCTGCATTTGTCAGACCGTCCGTTCTGCATTTCTGGTCCGTTCCAACTGACTTCGATTGCTCCGTTCTCACTCGTTTCTTACCCGAATCGCGCACCGTTTGTTTCTACACCTTCCTTGGAACGTCCTCTTTCATGTCCAATCAATAGATTATTGGAAACTCATATTTGCAAGATGAGGTACAACTTAAAACGTCCGTACCTCGAATAACTTGTGAATTCCGAATTTCCAAGTTCTACTCAATTTTCGTTTGCTCATAACTTCCTCGTTTCTCAGTCAAATCGAGTGTCGTTTTCTTCTAGATCTTCGTTGAAATATTCTCTATATTTTTGCCTTGTTTTACCCTCTTTTTATTCCCGAAAATAATTTAAATAATTTATACGGGAATCGGGGTATTACATAGGGTTTTCAGATTGGGTGAGAAATAGTGTTTTGTGAAAAAGACGGATAGAAATCGAGTCACGATGATATTGTCGACAACCGGATGCACTAAAACATAGATTAATGGTCATGCTAGATATTAGTTAAACTGAGCGCACCCGTCAAACAAGTCAAACTATTCGAGTCTAAAAAATGTTCAAACTCGTCAAACAAGTCGGAGTTTGACGAGTTTGACTAATATACATATAATTGCTCATATGTAGGACATCAATCTGTGCACGAATCTGACAATGATCAAGAGGATGTAGAAACTGCACAGAACGAGCAAGGTATGATCTTACACTTTACACTTTATTTGGGCAGCCCGAGTTAGATTGGTTTGACTCTTTTGGTTGACGAGTTTGACCGATTTGACTCTTTTGGTTGACGAGTTTGACTGATATATATATAATTGCTCAAATGTAGGATATCAGTCTGTACAAGAATCTAACAATGATCAAAAGGGTGTAGAAACTGCACATAACGAGCAAAGTATGATTTTACACTTTACACTTTATTTGGGCAGTCCGAGTTAGATTGGTTCGACTATTTTGATTTATAAGTTTGACCGGTTTGACTCTTTGGTTGACGAGTTTGACTGATATATATATAATTGCTCATATGTAGGATATGAGTCTGTCAACAATCTGATAATGATCAAGATGATGTAGAAACTGCACAGAACGAGCAAAGTATGATCTTACACTTTACACTTTTTTTTGGCAATCCGAGTTAGATTGGTTCGACTATTTTGATTGATAAGTTTGACCGGTTTGACTCTTTGGTTGACGAGTTCGACTGATATATATATATATATATATATATATATATATATAATTGATCATATGTAGGATATCAGTCTGTGCAAGAATTTGACAATGATCAAGAGGATGTAGAAACTGCACACGTTGACCGCGTTGACTCGTCAAACACGTCAAACTCGTCAAACTCTCTGATTTGGCGAATTTATCAATTGCGAACCACGAAAATGTTAATAAGCAACTCGTATAACAAATTTGATAAGTAAATAATAATCGCAGCTATCTAAATTTAGCACCTTATTTTGTGTAGCAATGCATGTTCCTCCAAACGAAACCCTAATGTTCTATTACACTTTATGTTACACATTGGTCTAGGGTAGAATTTATCATTTTCCCAGATG